AAGCAGCTTACTTTTCCCCAAATTCTTTACCCTTATTTCTGTAATTTCTAACTAAAGTAGTTTAAAGTACTCATTGGTCATTTTTTGTACATACATTAATACTGTAATTACATGGATCAGTGACATCATTTATATCTTTTATCAATACCAAGTGGGAAAGAATTTGAGAAAGCAGGTCAGTATAGAAATATTCTTTAGGAGTTGAATCCAATTTGTATCTACTCAGAAGTAAGGTCTAATGCTTGCTCACAAGTAAATGTGTACACAACTGCAGCCTCCAATGATTTAAAGAGTATAGATATGTACGATTCTTAGATATTTAAGCATCTCCAGAAAGGTCTCTTCTTGCACTCCATAATTAGTGAAAAAATCAGCCCTTGCTGTCAAAACATTATAAAAAGATATGCTTGATACAAAGAAGGTGAAAAAGTTATTTTTAGTTTGGGGGAAAAGTACTAAATCCTGTTTGACCATTTGCAGTATTAGAATTATACCCTCATCCTACACTGTTTATTCAGCAATACATTCCTTTGAATTACTTGGAGAAAATTCCATTTAAATAAGCACCAGATTGCAAAACTGTGCTACTGGTTGCTAGCTGAAATACACTTGTATGAATCTATGGGGATTTAGTGGCTTAACTATGTAAGCTCCATTAATTCAGTGGGCCTACTCTAGTAGCAATTTACTACTGGATTTCAGCGCCTGTCTTCAAACATCCTGAAACCCAAACTTATTTGTTCAAGTTTCAATTGGTAATTTCAAGGCTGCAGATTAATTATGTAGTTAATACCTTGAGATGGATGACCGAGCTGTGATGACAGAGCTAAGATTATATATACAGTATATACAAAGGATCAAAGATTACGGGGTAAATGTATTTCCAGTACTTCATGAGTATGTTACACTCATCAGGATTAAAACATAGAATCAATCTGCAGTACCATGACTAACCCAAGAATACATGACACAATGTACCTGTGAGCGTATATAGAGGGCGCTGGAAGAGAAAATGCAGGTGCAGTTAAATTGAGTTTTATGTAAGAGTAATAAAAGTCGTGGGCAATGTATGGCTTTCCAGGTGTTGTTGGTCTTCATCAACAATACTCAATTGTTAGAGATGATGGGAGTTAAGTCTAACATCTAGGGGGCCAAAAGTTACCCATTACTAGTATAGATTTTTCTTTGCTACATATGTAGCATGGAAGCTAAAGCAGATGCCTTAACTTATAATTTCCATATTCTGTGCATGAGTGAATTCATCGTATAATGATTACTTGTAGCAGCCACATCATTTGTATAAATCCCAACTGGGAAAGCGTTTCATTAAACTTCTAGAAGCTAAGATAAAACAGGACCAAAAGTCCATGTAAGGAAGATTTTAAGCCACCAGCTAAGAGTCAAAACTGTCTAGGCAAAGCAGAAGATGGTGAAAAGAGGAAGGAAGATGTCACAACAGCCGCAGGAAAAAGCAGCAGCAGCAGATAGTACATGTCATGGTGATACTGACGGGATGTCTTGTCTGATGTGTGAAAGGTCTGGCAGATAGCAAATGTTTGAAAAGCTGCACAAATATGCTCTACTATATACCCACCATTCACTGGATGAGAAAGTCATCACAAGATAAAAAAAGGGAGCAAACTGCCCTGGCCGTATCCATCTTCTAGGACAAAGAGAAGAATATCTCAGCAAGGGTAAAACACACAAGTAGGACAGCAATCTCCACCAATAATATGAAAGGCTTTAAAAAACACCATTGTTTTATTATTTGTAACAACCTTTGTCCCTTACCTTTCCACTAAAAAGCACTTAGAGTAGGTAGCACACACAATTGAAATGAGAGTAAAAACAAATTGAAAACAGCATGTTGGTGAAAGGATTTCTCCCCCCCCCCAAATCTTGTCACACTTTAGAGATTAATACCTATTTCAGAGTGAGCTTTTGTTGGACTTCATGGCTTGTATATTTATAGGATCTTCCTGACCAGTGAAGATACAGATAATGGACAAAAAGACAATGGTTTGTTAACATAGGAATGGGATTATTGAGGTATAAATAACTGAATTAGAAAGTCCTGGTTAGGACAATAAACAGATTAGACAACAGAAACATTGAAATTGCTATGATTGGTTAAAGTAAAAACAAATTGAAAACAGCATGTTGGCGAAAGGATTTCTCAAATCATCACTGTAATTAGTAAAATAGTTCTAAAGGCCAGTTTGAAGAGACATGCCTTTCTCATCCTTCCTAAATGCAGAAAAAGTAAGAACCAATAATCATTCTTGAGATAACAGCATTTCACAGTCTGAGAGCAATCCAGTAGAAACCCTTCTCTTGTGTGCCCATCAAGCACGACTCCTCAACCAAGCATACTCTCAAAAGGAGCTTTCCTGAAGATCTTAACATTTAAAGCATGAAGTCTAACTTGAAACCAAGCCTAGCTAATACTGCTAGGTGAAAATGAGATCCTTTATACCTCAGTGAGTAGAAGGGCATAAGCAGAAATGACACTAAGCCATTTACAGGTACAATTAATGGGAAATCATAGTGTGCCTCCATTCTTTGGAGGTACAGTAATAAAGTAAGCAAGTGGGACTGGACCAGCTATGCTGCTTGGGGAAAAGCAGCAAATGGACCCTCATCCATCTGAGTTAAGTTGCTTAGAAACCAAAGCCAACCAAGCTATTCTGGCATAAAGGTAAAGGTAAAGGTTCCCCTTGACAATTTTTGTCTAGTCGTGTCCGACTCTAGGGGGCGGTGCTCATCCCCGTTTCCAAGCCATAGAGCCAGCGTTTTGTCCGAAGACAATCTTCCGTGGTCACATGGCCAGTGTGACTTAGACATGGAATGCTGTTACCTTCCCACCGAGATGGTCCCTATTTATCTACTCGCATTTGCATGCTTTCAAACCGCTAGGTTGGTGGGAGCTGGGACAAGCGACGGGAGCTCACTCCGTCGCGTGGATTCGATCTTACGTCTGCTTGGTCTTCTGACCCTGCAGCACAGGCTTCTGCGGTTTAGCCCGCAGCGCCACCACGTCCCTGGCATATTAGCAGAAAAATCCCACAAGTACCTCTTCCCCAGTCCTGGCACTATAAATATAATAACAAACTCAACCTTTTGCTACCTACTCCTTGAGGCAACTGCTGGCACTATAAATATAATAACAAACTCAAGACTTAACCTTTTGCTACCTACACCTTGAGGCAACTACTTTACTGTGTCTTAATGGAAGAAGGCCTGGCCCTTCAAGGGCATCACTATCATCTTAAATGTTTAGCTCCACCCATATTTTTCTTTCCACTGTCCTTCAAACAAGCCAAGAGACACTTTCCCTCATGTATCTGTCATGTTGATTTTATTATATTGCATCTCATGAAACGGGCACATCTGTCACATTCTATGTTAACAGTGTATCTTGTATATATAGACAGTAGAGCAGCCATGGAGGAAAGGTTTAAGAAATACGATGGTTTGTAAAGTATTGTCCTTTTTTTTAAAAACTGCACTTTCCACCTCCCCTATCACATATACAAACCCTATCCCACTGTGAGAAGCACGAACCTTTCCTTCTGAAGCATCCTGTGCTGATAGCCCTAATATTTTGCATGTTCACATGTATAATAAAAATCAAGCTGGCAGCTTCTCTTAGTTGTGGGGAAGCAATCTGGTCATGCTATGAACTGGCTTCCTTATGCTTTTAGGCTGCCCAGTATTATGATACCATTTGCTACAGAACTGTGGATCGATCAATTTCAAAACTTCTTTCTATCCTGACTTTTAAGCTGCTGCCTTGGCAAGACAATAAAACAAATATAAGTAATAGCAATAACATCAGGACAGCAAAATAAACTGATCACTAAAGCACATGTACATTTTAAGAAAACAACAGTGAAGCAGAACTATACATTCATGAAGAATATAGAAAATATATTTTCTATATATTTTCAGAAATATATAGTTGCCCAACTGAAAAGATTATCAGATCAACAACATGATTATCCAGGTCCCCCCTCCCCTTATTTTAACTCAGAAGTCCGCCAACTGGCAAAACTACATATTTGGGGGACTGGAAGCAGCTCACTACCTAAAACTGCTTGAGAAAATCTGAACTTTCCCATCTCACTCACCCCATGATCTTGAACTGAATTAAACACCGTTTCTCTTTTCTTCTCGTCTGGTCCCTTACAGGTCTAGATCAAAATATTGTCACTAAGAATGGCATACATATGCACAATGCTAGAATTAGAGGTAGGAATACCAGGAAAAACTTCCCAACGGTTAGAGCAGTATGACAATGGAACCAATTGCCTCAGGAGGTGGTGAGTGCTCCGGCGCTGGTGGCATTCAAGAGAAAATTGGACAACCATCTATCAAATCTGCTTTGACTTAAGATTCCTACACTGAGCAGGGGGTTAGATTTGATGGCCTTATAGGCCCCTTCCAACTCAATTAAGCCATGATTCTATACTTTGATTTGGATTCCTTATGTCACCACAGTACTGCATTGTATGGTAATTACACTGGAATAAGCAGGAAAGAAAGAAGCCATAAGGGCAGAGGCAGAAGCTCATACATTACTGTGGAAACATGAACTGGTCCAGAGAACCATAATCTGTGAAGGAAAGTCAGACTGGCTCAATTCTTTGTGAGCTTCTAGTTTTAAAAGGATGTTTGAAATCTGCTTGAACTACTTTTTAAACTGTTTTTAAATACTTATGCATTTGTTTTCAAATCATTCTGCCTTTTGTATTTGGCGGGCAGAAAAGCCAGGAAGAGTAATAAGCAAGTGAACAGACCGCACCCTAGTGTGAATATTTTGCTAAATTGTCCCCTAAATATTATATTCACATACACAGATCTGATATGAAAGGAAGCTTAAACTAATTCCAAAGAATAGCCATTCCAAACAAGAGGATTCTCTACTGCTGTGCATTTTTAAGCAAATGTGCATGGAACTGCAGTGAAATGGCTTAAAAACAAAGAAACCAAAATGGTGATGATGTTTTTCAAATGCTGATTTTTATTTGAGCCTCCCTCTCAATTAGCTGGTCTATTACAAGTCATGAATTCATATTACATTTTAAATTACCAAATCAAATGTTGCACTGTAAGGTAATTGTCTCCATATTAAGGGGAAAAAGTAATTTGACATTAAGGTTCTTCATTATTTGTCTCCTCACGCAGAAGCTGATTTAATATGCTGCTCTTTTTCAAAGCCTCTAGGTTAGAAATGTCCTCGCTAATGACAGGCACAGCCTGTTTTGCTCCCCCTGAAGTCAGCTCTTCCTCACTGTCCGAGAGAGTGCAGAGAAGAGTATCATTTTCATAGGTAGGAAAATAATACCTAGGAAAAAGGAAGAAAGGCAAAATACTTGGTCAGATCACAATACCTGCTCCCTTTATGCATGAACCTCGGGTGTGCTGAAACAGCAGTGCTTTTTTATGATGCTTGCAAAAGTTCCTCCCCCCCCCACTGGGATTAGGAAGTATTTGGCATGTGTTTGTGATCCTGGAAGTTAAAAGTTCAAAAATGTAACATTTCCAAGTTCTGCCCACTGCACACACACACAGGCTCTTTGAGTATGTGCATGAACTTTGCAACTTTACAGGCCACAATCTGTTGGCTCTAAACAAATCAGAGCTGAGTAATGTATGGGCAGCCCTTGGATTGCAGACAGCCTCTGAGCGCTATTCAACTGTTATACATGTTGCAGGGGCTCTGTGCAGTTTTTAAGCCTTGCCATAACCAATTTTCAGACAGAAATGTCCTTCCATCTACTTCTGGTTTCATTTTTAATTTCCACCCCACCCACTTTTTTGACAGACCATGTTGCTCTGGAGAAGCCTGGGGCTTAAAAACTGCTCCCCCGCATTAGCAGAAGTTGTCCATGTTGATATAAATGGATACATTTAGTATTTATCATCACACTCTGGCGGCCTTACACTGATTGCCCATTCATTTCTGCATTGACTTCAAGGTATTAATGCTTACATATAAAACCCCAAATGGTTTAGGACCTCAATACCTGGAAGAGTGCCTGCTCCCATCTAGATCTACTCGTGTCACTTGATCTAGCCAGGCTCCCATCTAGCTCTACTCGTGTCACTTGATCTAACCAGGCTGGGCGGCTGAGAGGGGCTTGACCCTGAGAGAGGGTACTTGTTGACTTCTATTCCTTCCTGCCAATTTCAATACAGGGAGGTAAGGGTATAAAAACTCTTGGTAACTGTAGGTGGGAAGGACCATGCTCATCTCTATGGTGAACTCCTCAACAGGGAGTATACCCACCTGGAATCAAGGAGGCTCGCCAGTATGTAAGGGCATCTGCATATTTCCTTTTACTATACTGTCTCATGCTACATCTATGCCAAACAGCTATACTACTGCATAAACCTTCTAAGGCACCAGTGGCTTCCAATCTCCATCAGAACACAAAGACTGGGAGCCCACTGGGGTTCTAGCTCATCCGATACTACTAATTAATACACTGATCTTTTGGTCTGAGGGTATATGGCTATTCCAGAACACTGGGTCAAGGATGAGGACCCTGAGAGAGGCCCAGAAGGAGAGAACTGGAAGCCGGGCTTTCTCGGTGGTGGCCCCTCATCTCTGGAATATCTTGCCCCCTAAGATTTTCCTAGCACTCTCGCTGGGAGTATTCAAGGACAAGCTGAAGATTTGGTTCTTCAAGCAGGCCTTCCCCCCTTCCATCACTTAGTTTCTTGTGTTTTACCATTTTGACTTTGCTCATTTCTCTTTTCTGTTTCGATATTGTTTGTTTTAATTCTTGGTTTTATATTGCTTGGACTGTAAGCCGCCCAGAGTAGATTCATTTAGAATCGAGATGGGCAGGGTAAAAGCCGAATAAATACAAATTAATAGAAGTCATTGCTGCACTTTAACATTTTGTTCAGGATACAAGTCACTACTCATTTCTTTTAGGACTTCCACTTTTGAAGTTATTATTAGTCATCTGTTTCCTGCTCATTGCTCTGTGCATTCTGGATGGCAGTGCCTGCAGAACAGACTTGTTCAGAATGGCGATTAGGTCATCTAGCATGACAAACACAATTAAAATGTACTTTGTGATGGTAAATGAGATGCCTTATAACCTTATATATATCTTAGTAAATGCAATATTCTCGCTGATGGAAACAGCATATCATTCCCATTATAAACTGGTATACTACCGACCTTTCAACCAGGCAAAACCATCTGCATTAGACTAGAAATTTGTTGAATAAAACACATTTGTATACCATTTCATGGACGTCATTTCCCTGGCTCAGTGGAAAGCATCAGCCCACAGAGAAACTGTATGCAGTGTTCTGTATTTAGAAACCCACTGTTCTAGGAACAGCTAATATTGTCAAGGTGATAGCATGCTGACCTGCACAGGGAAGGAATTCATACTAAACAGGAAGGATCAGTTTTCCTTTTCCTGGAGTTGGGATGATGGTACTTGTTGACTTCTATTCCTTCCTGCCAATTTCAATACAGGGAGGTAAGGGTATAAAAACTCTTGGTAACTGTAGGTGGGAAGGACCATGCTCATCTCTATGGTGAACTCCTCAACAGGGAGTATACCCACCTGGAATCAAGGAGGCTCGCCAGTATGTAAGGGCATCTGCATATTTCCTTTTACTATACTGTCTCATGCTACATCTATGCCAAACAGCTATACTACTGCATAAACCTTCTAAGGCACCAGTGGCTTCCAATCTCCATCAGAACACAAAGACTGGGAGCCCACTGGGGTTCTAGCTCATCCGATACTACTAATTAATACACTGATCTTTTGGTCTGAGGGTATATGGCTATTCCAGAACACTGGGTCAAGGATGAGGAAGTTACTTTTCTGGACTGCAGCTCCCAGAATATTCCTCCACCACCAACAACAATAAAATCCTTTAAATTTGGTCTGCAGAAAAGTCAACGTAGGCTTGAATGAAGGCAAAGGATGCAAAGCCCCATTTTCACTTTTTAGATGCCATTGTGTGTTGCCTATAGGTGCATAAGCAAACCAAATGCATTCTTACTGGGGCTGATCCCACATGGACCTTGCTGGCAATAATGTTATGTGTTTGGCCTCTTCCATATGAGTTACCAACTCCTTTTTCGATGGGAGTTTTTTCAGGCAGCTGTAACACCGGCACTGGTGGACTTCTCTCCTAATGAAGTTCACTAACTTCACCTGTTGATAGAAATTCAAGCCTGGCAAACAAAAAACAGGCTTTTAAGCATAAATATCCACATGACACACAAACCAAGCACGATTATTAGAACAAAGGAATGGGCCTAAAGACTGCTGTGAATGAGAAAACACTAAATAGAAGGCATGTTCATAGCTGAAATAAAATGTCATCTATGATCTAGTTTATATAGCTAGAAAGTATGGTGTGTACTGCAACAGCACACTCCCCCAGATAGCCATACGAAAACACTTCTGCTATGTCGCAAAAGAGACAGAATGAACTGGGGGGAGGAAATTACATGATTTAGTACAGTGGCATTATTTAGTTTATGTCAAGAATAAATTATAGGCCTGACCAGAATAAAGTGCTGTAATGAGCAACCATAACTGTCAGGTGTGTTGAGAATGAGTCAGGGTGACTCAGCAAGGATGATGTAACCCAAGCTGATGCAACCTAGAGCTGATGTAATGGTATGAGGTAATCTGTTATGTGATTGGTTGTACAAATGTATATATGTAGACCTGTACAGTCAGTATTATCTTCACCTGGTTGGAGATCACATATGCCTGCCATGCTGCTGTAGACTGCTGTAAATACACTGTGCTAAACGAAATGCTGCCGGATTGCGTGTGTTTTATTACTGGACTGCCTGAGCCGCCTTACACTCTGCTAATTCTGTGATTTCCGCAAGGAAAACCCGACAGTTTAGCATGATGTTTATCTGCAGATTCATGATTTATACAGAGAAAATTGAACTTTCAGATCTTCTTGCTACTTTTCTGAGAACCACTGCAAACAATTGATGCTACCTTTTGACACTCCACAGAGATCAGAACTACCATAAGAAGTTTAAAGCAGTTCCAATTACATGGAGTCAGGCAAGCGGACTTATAGCTCCCTACTCCTAAAATTCCCTGGAAAAGACCCTGATGTTGGGAAAGTGTGAAGACAAGAGGAGAAGGGGACGACAGAGAACGAGATGGTCGGACAGTGTCATTGAAGCTACCAACATGAATTTGACCAAACTCTGGGAGGCAGTGGAAGACAGGAGGGCCTGGCGTGCTCTGGTCCATGGGGTCACTAAGAATTGGACACGACTTACTGACTAAACAACAACAAAACATCTAAAAAGCAGTTTTCCTAGCAGCAGACATCTTCAGCAAAGTATATGCTTTACTCACCATGCTCAGACTTAATTTGCAGGAGATCAAACCCATGTGACTCCTGGGATGGGGCAAATGAAAAAAGAGTGTTTCTGGTTACAAATGTTTCAAAGTGCTTCAGGTGGAATGAAATTTGTTACTAATGCTGGACTTACAATCTCTAAATAGCTAGGACACTATGCAAGTTACACAGTTTAATAATGGTAGCTTACCTAAATGCCAGCTGAATACTTAATACTGTTCCCAATGCACAGTTGCATCACCTTAAATCAAACCACCGTTCCACCTAGCATGTTATGGTTTATTCTGCAAAGTCTTTTGCCTGCTCTCTGAAAATTGCTCACATGAAACAGAAGGAATTGAAGCTGGGGCCTTTTACAACCAATATTCATGTACTATCCATGAAATCAAGCCTCCCAACTGAATTGCTCAAGTTTCTAAGCTTTATTCCAAGCTCTTCACACAGGACCTAAATTTGGACTTTGTTCTGCTTTGAACAGACAAGGAGTGGGAAATGTGTGGCCCTCCAGGTGTTGCTGGACTGCATTGGTCATGGATGATGGGAGTTGCAGTCAAACAATATCTGAAGGGCTAAAGGTTTCTCATCCTTGGGAACAGACCCAGTGAAAACAATGAGACAAATAAGCCTGATTTAAATAGATTTATTCTTAATTAGGGATGGGCATGAACCCTGGTTCGGAAGTTGGTGCCACATGTTCCCTTCCCCTACTCACCAGTTAAGAGTGTGCTCTTCTCCTCCTCCTCCTCTTTGGCTGTTCAACCAATCCCCGACAGGAGCATGGGTTTGCCAGTCCTGCCTCCTTGTTTGAGTGAGTAATCAGCTAAAGAGGTGGAACAGGGAAGCCTGTGCTTCTGATGGACTGGATGAACAACTAAAGTGGAGGAGAGGAGCGCACTCCAGCTGGTAAGTGGGGGATCGAGCTAGGGAGGCAGGAGAAGGGAACAAGCAGGGCCAGTGGTGCATGAACCTCCAAACCTAGTTTGTGCCCATCTCTATCCTTAGTACAATTAAGTCTGAAACCAGCACTTTGGATGCAAGGCTTGTAACTCTGCCCTCGGTGGCTTGTAAGATCCGCACTGCTTAAGCTCATACAATACAATAATAATACAATCTTACAAGCCACCAAGGGCACTGTTAAAGAGTTTCCAAACCCAACCAGAAAATTATTCCCTTCATTTTAAAAAGCAAGGCCTAATATAAATTGTATGTGCCTCTTACCTTCATGTGAACATAGAGCTTTTCTGTAGTGTCTGCCTGTTTCTCACAGAAGAGGCAAACTGCACAAAGAGGATGTTCTTCCCAGCCAGACCAGTCTCTATGAAAAAGCATTATTTAAAGCCCACTGTAATAAATGTTTAGAGGCTGTTTCTGAAAAGTATGGAGAAGCAGTACACATGGAAGTCAATTCTGCTTTAAAATAATCTTTCAGTGTGCAGTATTTCTTCTAGGTACGTAGTCTAGTCTTAGAGGCATCTACATTGCATTGTTAAGCAGTTTGAAGCCACTGTTTATTTCTGTAGTGTAGATACATGCTTCCTTGTTTTGTTCTACAGCCCTTTAATGTCAGGTGCTCTCAATTTTTAATCTGATGTTACTTACATAAAACTAACAAGTACAAGCAATGCTTATTCTCTTTGTTATGCCCAGTTGAATAACATTCTTTCATGAAACAACCATTTAGTGTTATAGCACAAGGAAGGGAGTGTGCTTAATATTGAAGGATTAGAAGATTATATTCCCAGCCTTGTAAGAAAAATGCAAAGCACCACTTAGATACAAGAGCAGACTTTTCTTGCAGTTTACTCAGGTAGTGTCATCTCAATAGCTATTCAAACACATCAATGGCTACTAGCCATGCACAAAAATAAAAGTTACAAAAAGATCTGCATTTTAATCATTTTGTCCCATCTTTACCACTTCCTAACCTTGCTTCCTCCCCACACTTTCCTCCTCAGAACAGTCAACAAATGCTTGAAGAAATGCTGTGAAATTTAGTGCAGTATATGGTTTAAGGCAAACAGCTGTGGTCTTGCATGCTGTATATTGGTAAAAAAACTCAAGCTTTTTTATTATGTATTTTTGTTGAAGGCAGCAGTACACTCCTGGCCTGTTCCTTTTCTTCCTGGCCTTAAGTCAGCCACCTACAATCCTACTCCTGCTGGGTGAGTTGAATACATTTCTCCTAGGCAGTGTGGTTGCAGCTAAAGGGAAACTGGCTAGAGCAGACTGGCCTAAGAGGTACGTAGAAACACTCAGGAAATAAGAAATATAATATTGGGGCTACCATAGAATGTGCCTCTTCATGCATTCTTCTGGCACTTCATATATGGCATGGTAGTGTACCAAAGTGGAATATCTGTGAAAATTAAAGACTATAATATATGCAATAGATAAGCTCCATTAAACATTGCTTGGAAGTTAACAGGTGGTTCCCCCCCCCAGGAACAGTAATTATGGATCAATGTGGATCTTCTATTTTTCCAAAGATGTTATTTGTCCAATGAAGTATAAGTTTTTCTTTCTTTCTCATATGCCCCATGAGTGTCTATATGTTAAACTTGGAAAATCACAGTTGGGAGAGAGAAACTATGTTATTAAAGAAAATCATTGGGGGGAAGTTGAACCATCTCTAATGGCCCTAAAGCCTCCCAGTCCAAATAATTGCTACCTGGGTCTGCTGTTAACACTTTATGGAAACCCAATTCATGATTTTCCTATTTTGTGCCAATTTATCCTTCAATGTCTTAGTTTTCAGTATGAGGTACTAAGCCCCAGGACAGATGTTCTACTTTCCTAGCCCCTCAATAGAATAAAAAGTCTCTATTACTCTTCTTGGTTGGGCAACAATTCTCGATCATCTTCTGACTGAACTTCTTCCCAGGACTTTCCAAATTCCTGACAAAGAAAAAGAAAGTAACTTCAGCAAACATGAATCCATTTTACCTCAGAAACCACCCAGGTTCAAAGACAAGAGAGAAAGGTCTCAATTGAAAGGCTTTCAAGCTAGGTCTAGTTCTGCTGAAGCTTCCTGTTACTCCCCCAGTGACAGCTGGGAGCTTTCTTTCTGAACATAAAGCCAGGCAGAGCTAGGACTAGCTAAGCCTCAAGGTTGATGCCTTTCTTCCAGGTGAGACACATTTAGGTGTCTGTCAGGTAGAACTTGCACAATAGAGAATTATGGGATTTGTAGTACAATAAATTAAAACATCCCATCCCTATTAGTTACTGAAGAATCATTTATGGTTTGCTTTTGTCTTGTCTGTTTTCTTTTTCATTATTTTTCTCTCTCAATTACATTTATACTTTCCTTTTTCTTTTGGCAAATAGTTCCAAGGCAGTACACATACTAAAGTCCTTTCCCTCATTTTCATCCTCACAACAACCTTATGAGTAGGTTAGGAAGAGGTAGTATAATTGGTCCCAGGTCATTTAGTAACTTTTTGGCCAAGCAGGAATTCAAAACCTGGTCTTCTTAGTTCCTGTTTAGCATTCTAATCTCTACACCATGCTGGGTGTCAAATTTCCGATTACTATTCAACTCTGGGAGGCAGTGGAAGATAGGAGGGCCTGGTGTGCTCTGATCCATGGGGTCACGAAGAGTCGGACACGACCGAATGACTAAACGAACGAATTCATATTTATATACACTCTCAACATACTTATATATCATTAATTTTTTTCACTTGCTCTTCACTTCGTTATATAAATAGAAATGTTATGTTGCCCAAGAGAAGTACTGTAGATTTCAAATTTCTAGTCTTCCCAGCAATTCTAATCATGCTTTTCATTCTTTTCAATACCTTTTTCATATATATGCCAAAACACACTATGTCACAAAAGTACTGGAAATATCTGACTATGACATTTAGAAACCTCAAACAACCAAATGCATAGTTCTGCAGGCAGACCTCACACAGCGTGAGCTGGTGGTCAGTTGGTGTCGATGTTAGGCTGACCTTTGTGCCTTCTACCCACAACACTGTTTGAAAGCACAGCCTGCCTGACACACCACCAAGCAGGGGCTGAACTATTTTAATGTTCTGATTTGCTGTGAAGATGTAGTTCTGTGTTTGTCAGACTGTGGCATCCAGAGCCTGTTATTATACAGTCCAGATCTCCGGCAGTGTCCTTTTTTTAAAAAAACAAACATCCCTCATGTTTGAAAGCGTGAAAATGCTGTGGAATTTGGGCAATACTTTTAAGGAATAGAGGCCCTTTAAAATAAAGCAGCACCACCTTTTGGGTATCTTCCAATAATATAATAAGTCAATTCTGTCAAGTCAATTTTGACCTGTGGCAACCCTTTCCAGGTATAGAGTACTCAGAAGTAGTTCACAGTCCCTTCTTCTGTGAGTGTCCTAGGACTGTGCAGCTTGCCCAAAGATACACCATCTGGCTTTTCTCACTCGAGGAACCAAAGAGGAATTGAACTAATGACCTCTAGGCTCCACACCGAGGTATCCCGCCAGCTTCATCATAACACAACTCTTAATACAGGTAGAAATTTTAAAGGCAATCGCCAGTCACATAATAAAATATCTGCTTTTTCAGATATCAGAGCAAAAGGTTGTGGGGGGGGGAGAAGCAAAAAGTTGTGGGGGGAGAGAAGCAAAAAGTTGTGGGGGGAGAGAAGATAAAATCGTGAGCAAATTCATGAGCAGGTTCAGCATAAAGTTTTGTTAGAGCCTGCAGTATTTAGTATATCAAATAGAGGAAAAGCCCTTAAAAACAAATCAGAAACTCACACCTGTACCTTAATCAGAGTTTTCAAAAGTGTTACAATGTGTCAGATAAATTGAATACCAGCCTGCAATGTTAGAATGGCCTGTGACAAGATGTCATTACAGATTAAGGAATTAAAATCTTGTAATTAATTCAGAGAGATATTACTCTCTTGGGTAAACTCTCCTACTGCAGCCAGTTTCATTAACATTGTCAGGCTAGTGAGATAATGTGAAGCAGTTCACACTCCTCTCTCTGTGTTTTCTCCCTCAAGATGATCATGCCTTCTTTGATAGAAAAGGTTGCTTCTAGAAAATTAGCTACTAGGTTTTAATGAAAAGCTATTAGCTGGAAGAAGCAAAGAATTCAGAGGGGACAAACAGAGCTCTTTCCCCCACATCTACATACAATATAATGATATCAAGTGATCCATAAGTTTAGGGCCACATGGATGGTTTTTATTGTTATTTTTATTTTCTGAACTGTAGCAGGCTTTAGTGATTTCCAGGGCATTAAAAACCATGATGATTTTGGCAGTTAGTTTGACCACAGGGAAATCAAAGCACTAATCTGTTTAATGGCTTGTTCCTGCCCTCAGCTAGAGGAATGAAAACTCCACCAGGACCAATTCATTTAAGCAGCATGGGCACATAGGAATAGCCATTAGGTGGAACAGAGGCATGAAGGGCTGAAACCCTCTCCCTCATCATGCTCATTACTGGGCCAGATTCATGTGCCTGCTGGTACAGTCTGTGTGTTTAGGTTTGGTTTCCGATTATAGGCTTGCTCCTGTGACTTGGCATATTGAGCAGAAGCCTCTGCTTTTTGTAAATTGGCCCTTGGAGAGTCTTAATATGAGAAAGATGAGCTCACTAGGAAACACAAACAAAACTACTTCAGAACAACAGTCTTCCTAAACTGCAAATCATAAATAACTACATTAAGCGGCATTCTAGAACTCCAGCTCTATAGAGTACTACCAATATTACGGTCGCTGCTGCCTCTTTTAACAGTATTTATTTCCAGATGTATTTCATTATTGTTATGACTTAGATTTTTGTGTTTTTTTTTGGGGGGGGGAGAAATCACATGCATGGCTTTTAAGACTTGGTTCGTGACCCTTGAATGCTTCAGGGAGTGCAATAATGAGCAATCCAAGGTTACGCACCTGTCATTTCCAGGATGGCAGGCAGTATTTAGTAAAAGAGAAGGGGAAAAACTTTCATGGTGGCTGCTTGGGAAACTAATGCAGCTCAGTGCTGTTAGCCCGAGGGAAGCCAATTTCACACTGACATGAAGTCTGGACTGAATTACATCCGCTTAAGGTGGAGATGGCAGAATATGTAACTCTCCAGATGTTACTGGACTGTTATCCCCATCAGTTCTAGTCAGCATAGCTAATGGTAAAGGATGATGGATGCAACAATCAAGAGGCCACTCATTTTCCATCACTTTTTTACAGAACTTAAGCAGGGGCAGGGAGATCAAATAGATAATAAGGTTTCTTGTACGCCTTAGTTGTGTAGAAGAGAAGCAGGAATGTTTTCCCCCCGTTATCAGAAGACTAAATCCACTTGTTCATCCTAACTAGAGTTCACTCATAAAATGAATGGGCCTTATATAAATGTTAAACTAAGAAGGTTTATTCATTCAATGGTTCTACTCTAGTTGGGATTAATAGCTGCATTTACTCCACCATGCTACAACAGAAAGAGCTTCCATTCACAGCATTTTGGCCACATTTAACAACCTTTTTTTTTAAAAAAAACTATGTTTTTGTTGTTGTTATGTGTTGTCAAGCCAGAACTAACTTACAGCAACCCTAATAGGGGTTTCAAGCCAAGTGAAATATTTAAGGAGCAGTTTTACCAGTTCCCAATGAATTTTCATGGCTGAGAGGAAATTCAAACCCACTTCCCCCGAGTCGTAGTCTGTCATACTATCCACTACACACCACATTGAGTATTAGTACTAGCTATTCACAGTAAAATGGTGATCAGCATCAGATGGATGGTAAAGCAGGGCAAGGACCTTGGCAAGTGGAGTGGCGGGGGCACGGGGAATAGAATTTGGAGGCTAGAGAGGTATTTCCTGGCTTCCATTACTGAAGAAAGCAGGAGCAAATGAGCTAAAATTTCAGGTAGGTGGGGATAAAATCTAATTTTCTGCTTCTCCTTATCCGCCTACATTTCATGGATGATCTAGATAGACAGAGATACTGTTGAACACGTTGCAGCTGTACATCATGTTTAGGCACGGCTGCACTCCTATAAAGGACCAGCTGCCTGGCCTAAATGTTCTTTCAAGGCTGGCACTAACGCTGGAGGTGCAAGCAGCAGCAGTGGCCAGGTAAAGCTTTTACCAGCTTTGGCTGATTCACTACTAGTGGCCTTATCTTCAGTAAAGCTTGGAAAAAAAATTCCCCAAAGTTTCTCTCTAACATGTTATTTTAAAGATTTTCAAAAGCTACAACGGTAAAAAAATGTAATATCTCCCCGCAAACTAATGTTTTTGCAACACTGAGTAAATTTTACAAGTTATACAAAAACTGTAGCATTTACAACATTCTTGCTAAAGCATTAAAATTAACATCATTTGCTTTAACATGCTACTTCCAAGTGCTAATCTAAAAACTAAGGGTTTGCCATGTATTTTTGTAATATTTACATTTAGTCTGGGCTACAATGTAATTTGAAGGGCTGCCTTCACCTTTGGAATAGAGCAGTGGCCTAAGCAGTAATTTCGGAAAGTGCATTTCTTAGTACTGTATTTTGAGGATTTCCCCTCCAGATGGCCACATGTGTGATTTCAGTTAGTGAAACATCTACCATTTTCTTCCCTTCTTGACTTCAATCACTGTGCTATCATGCCTGCAGGAATCTGGCTGAACTTTATTATCAGCTACAAAGGTTCCATTCAAATGCCCAATGCTACAACCCATTAGATTGATAGGCACAAGAGACAGGACCTCTTTGTCAACCTGTGAAATGGTATGTTTACACAGTGTTAAAGTTTTAAAGGGGGTGTAGAAAAAGCAGCCTGGAAAACACAAGTGGTTTTAGAATGGAAGCTTGAACAATAGTTTAGTATAGTTTCTGCAAAAACAATTAGTCAGTTCTCCAGCCATCTTTCTACAATAAGGTTTCTGACAGTTGAACATATTTGTGTTGCAATGTGTAAATAGAGAAGTGTGCAGGTCCTATAGCTTGCACCCTCTGTAATTACAATATTCTGATATTCGTTAACAGAATGAATACACTCATCATGGATGCCCCTCCATAGATGTAAACTGGTACAAGGCTGGGTGAGAACATTATTTAATAATTGTTCATATACTTAAAGGCTAATAAATGCTTTTTCTGTATCTATCTTGCTTTTAACAACTTTGGAATCTTTAAAGATATGTTCTCAGCTTTTCTGGTGTGTCTTTTTTAGGCTATAAGCTCTTGCATTTTTAGACTATAACTGAAACAACCTCATTTTTTGGGTACTCTTTTAAAATATGTTTCGACACAATCTGGACTGAATTCTCACTTAAGTATTTGTATGACTTTAGTTTTCATATTTTCTAAGTATTTGTCCCTGACGTTTATCCAGAAGGCTAGATATTTAAAAACTTTCAAGTACTGTATTTCTGAGCATATGGAACATAGAAGCAATGTAAATAAATAAAGCTTGTAGAATTAGACATGTGTGTGTTGCCTAGATTTATTGCAACAATGATTTATGCCTTGATACCCAGATGAATGTTAATATGATTGTCTAATTTCATTCTAGAATTAATCCTTTATAAATACCAGCTGCAACACACACAGGCTTCTGATTATTCCCTAGAATAATCAGAGTTCTGCAGGGTTCTTAGAGAGTTATTCAGGTGTCAGAATCCCTGACCTGACATCTTCATTGGTGAAATTCCATCACTTAAAAAACATATTTGGCTCCATCACTGATGGTTTTTTAATGCCATCTCAAGAATCTGCTTTTAGCTCAAATTGCTATGGGTTGACTGCTAACCAATATCTGAAGAGATCTGGCTACCAGTTCCCACTATTCTACTGTTGGTATATGATATTCTGGGATAGTTTTGTAATCCACCTTGGTAAAACTTTCTCCTCAGATAAAGTAAAATATTTAATACTTATTTCATTAAAGAAGAAAAGCAAGCATCTTACCAGATAATTAATAATATAAAATCTGTCATATTCTCTGTTTTTGGCACTGATTCTGCGATGCTGCTTCTTTCTCATATGATCCCTGAGTGTGTTCTTATCCCGAAATATTTTTTCACAATATAGGCACTGCAAACTGAGATTTTTTAAAAAAAGGATTACAAATGATGGAGGGGAGGAAGAATACTGTAACTAATCAGCCAATTCGTTCTGGTAATTCCAATAAATTCTGATGTTCCAGTCAGAATGTTGCCAGATACCTGATCATGCTTTCTTTATGTTAAATTAACATAAACAAAGCATGATCAGGTATTTAGCAACATTCTGACTGAAAAATCACCAGAAAATTATATTTACAAGAAGGAAAAATCACATAAGACATATATATTAATGAAGAAACAGTATAGATAGTAAGTCCATGCAGTAATATACAGAAAAGGAAAAAATAGATGGATTGAGTATAAATATATAAAATCAGAAAACGTATGCTTGGTTTTATAACATTTATGGGATTTTTGTTGTCATGAGACTATCTGAGATATACAGTATGTAGGTACTTTAAGCACTTTTTTTGACAATGTATCCTTTTATATTATTTGATATTGGAATAAATATGTAGCAAAAGAAGGCTCCATATCAGCCTAGCACAGAAAGTCAAGGAGTCAAAGCACATTATGTGTACAAAAAAGTGCAATAGTGGAAAATTCCAGGAAATGGATATATGTCATTTAAAACATTCTTAATTCAGAGCTTAAAATCACTAGAAGCTCAACAGGCAGAATTGCTAAGCTGGTATCATTCAGTATGGGATAGCATTGACCTTCCACACTGAAAAAGCAGGCAGACTCTTAGGTAAAGAGTATTACTAAATGTGCAGCTCATTGTAGGAGTGTTATACTGTGGAAGAGCATCAAGAACTTCAATAATACATGCTTTAGATAAGCTCTGGGCAGAGTGACTTTGCTTGGAATTCACCAAATGCCAACAGAAGAGACACCCCCTCCCCCCGAGTCTGATTCTATTTCCTCAGCTCAAGTGAGAAGGGACTTCTAAGGCACTGGAAGCATCAAAGAAAAATATGGCTAAAATGTGGTACACTACTAACATGTCAGTGTACTAAAATGATAAGTTAAGATTACTGCTCTTTCACCAAACAGCATGTATACACTTGGGCACAGAGAGACATCTTCTGCTTTAAGCTGCCCCAATTGGCAGTGGATTAGCTCCAGAGACCATTTGCAGTTCTGCAACACTCTGATTTAGTGTTCATTTGCATACATAATTGGCCTTCAGCAAAAATATTTTCCATTTACAGCATAAACACCTATCTTACTTATTCCATTCCTAGGCACCATTTGGAACCTTCTAAAATGGAATTCTGTACTTCTTGAATCAACAGTTGCATTCTGTTTTTCCTTCCCAGATTGTCTGCAGAGAACTAAGCTTTTTGATTCCATTGCAAACTCCATATTTTAATAGACACAAGAAACAGGATATAGGTTGGCAGTTGGCATTCTCCATGATCCCTTCCCTTTCAGGTTTCTGTAAAATGCTGAAGTACAACAAAATGGGGGAGGCATTTCCTGACTATCAAATTAAAGTGAAAAAGAGCAGCCTTAATCATAGTGGCCTCAATAGTTGCTCCTCTCTGCAGCAGTGGTATGAACTAAGTCAGGGTACATGTGGTTTACTATGGTTTATTGAATTACTGTGCAAACAAGGTGTAAAAATTTATATTAATTACAATAATACCCCTCAGATGTCGTGGATGCCAGTGAATGGAACAACAGGCAAATGAGAGAAAAAGACAAGGTGTTTCTGCCAGGTAACAATCTCTCCGGTCTGTCTAAAGCAAAGGTGGGCAACACCCCCCCAGGTCTGAAAATGGCCAAAAATTGGTGTGGTGGTAGTGGGTCAAATCCAGAAGAGACTGCCATGCTCTTCTGTTTCTAGGGAACTTCAGGGGACTGATATATCCCCACCTTGCAATGCAAAACCATTTTCCTAGACGCCTGTAAGAGAAGAAACTAACCTCTCTCTCTTTCTCTCTTGTGTATGTGTGTGTGTGTGTATGAGAGAGCGAGAGAGAGAGTACGCACCTTCAGGTGGAGGGGGTTGTGAGTGTCACACCTTCAAAAATAGATTTGGGGACTAATGCAGCTTGGCCTAACAGTTAGGAAAAGCATTGAGAATGTGGCCATGATCAATAAGACACGAGGAAAAGATTAACAATCTTTAAGACTATAATTCTCACTGGCCCTCATGCCTGTGAGAATTATAGAGCTGAGGGCTCAAAGGGGAAACTGTTTAAATGGGGATGCTGATCGCAGAGGCTTCCAAAAGAAGATACACACCCTCACGCCTGTGGAGAAATCCGCAGGGGGTGGGTGCAAATGCTGTCCTAGAATGGATAAAATCTATCTAGACCAAAAGCCCAGAGACATGCTTTATAGTTTGATCTTTCAAATACAGTATGCAGGAAAGGAGTAACAGTTTTTAACTATCAGGTGAGAGAAGAGTGAAGGAAGTAATAGTAGGTAAATATATACATCATTTATAAGGTAAAACTAATTATGGAAAGATACTAAACAGCCACCTGGATTGTGGTCTCCAAAATCTGATCTGTAAAGTAACTGTTTCCATTTTATGGGTCCTTAGATGCACACAGAATGGATGCATATACAGGATGATCACTAGAAATAGGGTTCTGTCATCTCCTCCGCTGACTCTTACAGTTTAATTTCCTCCTTACAGTTTAATTTCCTCCCCCACCTTACTCCCAGAGAGCTGGAACAGTTACTTTTTCTAGTATTCTGAGAGTTGTAGTTCAAAAATTATCTTAAACGCTGACCTTTTTCAAATAAATTATCTTCTTTGCTTTCTCTCCCGTTAAGTCCACTGGTGGGTGTATGTGTGTGTGAGAGAGGAAGGGCTAGAGTTTGAATAACAAACATCTGTTTATGAGACTGACCGCAAAATGGCTCAGTGATAATAATCTGGCACTGTTCACATACCTGCTAAGTTTCTTCTGCAGAAGATCTAAAAATTCTTTACAATTTACAATGTTATCTGGCAGTCCTATATTGAATGCATGATCATTTGCCATGTGATTGAGAACGAGTGACCTACAAAAACGAAAGAATCAGACATTTACTTCTGTGGACTTTTTTGACCACTACAAACTTGTGTGTTAGGCAAAGGTTGCCACCAAAACGTATGGAGAGTTACTAAAAAATAAATGCATTTTTCCTCCTTTGTGAATGTTTCTCTTCACTGCAGGGATCACTGGAGAGAGGAAGAAAACATCGACTATGTATTTGAAGCTTCTCTTAAAACCAGCAATGCATGAATAGTACATGAAATACTATCATACCATCACTGAGTCACTGCACTTTTTCTTCTGTTGCGAGACATTGTTTGCTTAACAGAAGACAATTTGAATTTCAGACACACAAAACCAAACATTGAGTAACTTAATAGCAATGTTTGGGTTTGGTTTTTTTCTTTTTAGCAGTAAACAGTTTTTTGTCACTGAAAAAGAAAATGTACATTTCAGGTCTGTTGCTATGTTACAATAATATACAGTACTGTATCATAAGGGTGCTCACTCGCTTAAAATCAATGATTTTGATTAGTGTTGTAAGTGACCCCAAGGGACCACCACACTAGAGATTTCAGCTGGGGAGGCAAAAGATTTTAGTAGAAGAGGAGCAAAAACTGCTTAAAAGAACTATAACAATAACAGCAAGACAAGATACACAGTCTTTTCCAAACAAAGAACATTAGCATACAAACACGGCACAGGAAACAATTTTAATGTTCAGGACACTTTCCATATACACAAACAACATCAAAGAGTCTTTCAGCATCTTAAAGGTTAACACATTTTGCTTCACTCAAGCTTTCAAAAACTGTAGTTCACTTTATTATAATGTAATTAGTCTACAGTCCATGAAAACCGATACCAAATAAAATGTGTTTAGTTTTTAAGGTGCCATTAGTCTTTTCACTGTTGTTTTTGCTGTGCCAGGCAAACACAGCCACCACCAAAAACCTGGAAACTTAGTACAGAGTGGCTGAAATCCTGTTGCTTTGTCTAGTAAGTCACACTACAATAGCCTATAGAATCAGTGGTGATTTGGTGAGTCAGCTCCTCTGTAAATAGGCCTACTCTAATAGCAACTTACAGGTCCTTTTGGATCAACAGAACATACAGAGGAGTTGACTCACCAAATCCCCACTGCTATAGTGGGCCTAAAGGTAAAGGTAAAGGTTCCCCTTGACAATTTTTGTCCAGTCGTGTCCGACTCTAAATACTAAACAACAGGATTTCAAGCACCGAGTGACTTTATCAGAATTGCAGGTGGTGTAAGAAAACGAGGAATATGGTGCTATTATAATTTACTACTTAATTCAGACTCAACAGTTTTGGTTATTAAAAGTATCTGACTTCATGAAGAGACTGCAGTTATTTCAAAGTGAATTAAGGCATGCAAGAGGAAGGGGGAACATACAAGATGTTGACCAAGATGGTGGTGTCCAACGTTGAATAGTTATTATTTTCTTGGCGCCTCGCTATTCAAACCTGTTGCTCTTCTTAGGGTAACAGAAAACAATGTGCCCTCCCCCCCAGTTTTCACTCAAATTGCTAAAATTTCAATTTTTCAGTTTTTAACCAATAAGTAAAAGCTCATCATCCACCCCATGGCATTTAAAGCACTCTCTGGGTAGTTCACAAGTTAATTATGCAGGCTACACATTGCCCTCCAGCAAGCTGGGTAATCATTTTATTGACTTCGCAGGTAAGGAAGGGTGAGTGAACCTTGAGCTGGTGACCTGGGATTGAACCCCAGGTCATAAGCAAAGTTTGGCTGCAGCACAGCAGTTTAACCACAGTGCCACAAGGCTGCTTATGTAGAGCAGATAACATAAACACAGTATTAAACAGCTGACTTCAGAATGCTTCCAATTTTCCCCCTCATACGTTTGTTTGGCTCTTATCCTGGCCTAAATGTTTCACACTGGATAGTGACTGTAAGGAGACACAGTTTTGAGTTTGTTTAGCTATAGCCTAATACGGACTTGAGTGGGAGTCGCCTTCTTCCTCAGTTCGGATTTTACCCCTGTTCAGAACACTACTTGTTGCAAAACTCAGAGCATGGCAATAAGCCTCCTCCTTCCCTGTGGACAGGGAGAGAAAACCTGTGGATTCAACTCTTACAATCCTATACACACACCGTTCATTGTTTAGAGCCACACACAGAAGGCTTTTCACTTCTACGCTAAGGTGACTGGTAACATCTATATACATTTTTATCTTCTTTGCTAGAATCAATGTAGTTTAACAAACAGAAGCTGTTGTATCGGGGTTTCTAATTCTGCTTAGATATGAAACAATCTCTATGGATGGTCAAGATAAAATGAGATGAAGGTATACATATGCAGTCTTCAGCTCTTTGGGATACCAGCAGGATAACAGTGTAGGAAATGCTGGCCAAATCTCATACATAGAGCTTCAGTAGCACAATATTTTCATTTTTACAAAGTAAGATGAATCACCACTGCAATAATGCTATCACACAGGTGACTGCATCGCAGAGTAATATAATGGTCAATCAAGCTTCCTTTCCTGTTACTGCTCATCACAGGTAGATTTGGCCCTTTGCTTTCAGACCCAACTATTTAAGACCAATCCTCGCTAATAGCAATGTGACCTTGGGATGAAGAGGGTTGTAATTCAACACATGTACGTAATACCAGTTTGGGGAAGTTTAAACTAGATGGATTGATCCAGCAGATCTTCTCTTTCCCAGAAATTCTAAGAATTTGCCAGTTATAAAATGCTGCTCTCTCTACACCAGCACTAGCTGTTCTATAACATTTCCTTTTTGTGCTTGCTGTGTTATTTCGAGGTCAGAACGTTCAAGTGTATGAAAACATGAAGCTGGATGTTTAACACCAACCTGTTACCAGTAAATTCTTTGTCACAGAATAAGCAGATGCCACAAAAGTCTGCATCGTATCTCTCTTGCTGTTGCTGCTCCAGAATGTCCTTCTGTTGAAGTGGAAGAAAAATGAGACATACAATTACACACACTCCTTGTACAAAATTACTCTTAGCAGATTTACACTGGATACATCCTCATAACACAGCAAGGCAAAGAGGACTGAGGGATCACCAGCTAACCACGGACGACTGTGAGAACTGATTCAAACACAGGCATTCAGTTTCTGTGCTCACTGTGTGCCATTGAAACATGGGCATATTCTTCTCCTGTTTGTTTTTCACCTGACACCTCGAAGAGTGCCCACCTTGTTTCAAGTTTGTTTTTCCAGTTTGGTGGGAGAGAAACTAACCTAAGAAGATAAAGCGCCCAAATTCACAGTGGCCAACATTCTGTTGCATAACATAGTAAATCACACTACAGCAGGACCACTGAGTCAGTGGGGGAGTTGGTGAATCAACTCCTTCAATACGTTCCATGGATCCAAGTGGCCTACTCTAACTGCAGCCTACTTTAATACAGTAAGTCACATTTAGAATGGGCCCATTTGAATCAATCGAACTTAGGAGGAACTGACTCACTCAATCCCCATTAATTCAATGGGCTGACTTTAGTGTGATTTACTACACTAAGCAATAGGAGTTTGGCCGGTGAACTGTCCATGATAGTTCAGTTTAGCTAGAACACGTGGAAGTGAGTGGGCAGCATCTAACTGTCCACAATAAGCCAGAGTTCTGCAGCCCCTTGGCTTACAATGTTGTGCATCTCTGGCCACAATTAACCAGCTCATCGTTGAGCCAATGAGCAACAGAACAGATGTATGGTTTTTGTTTGAAAATATTACTTTTTCTCCTATTAGTAATTTCAAATATTCTCATAGAATAAAAATGATACATCTGAAGGCTAATTTAACCTAGAGGACTTTAATTGCAATTTGAGGGGGGGGAAATAATTTCCCCAAAATGAGGTCTTAAAAACAGTGAAAAATCTGATGTACCTAACCAGTAGCAGTAGCACAGAATCTTTCCCCTCAAGTCAGTGACTTAATACCTCCTTGAGGAGTAGGTGACTTTACGTGCAAAAAGGTAGCTACAGATAGATAGATTAAATATATGGGTTTTCAGCAGGGAAACATATTTCATCGTACATTTCTAACCGTACTACATCTTTAAAAAACAAAATAAAACCATATCTCCATGGCTGTTTCTAGGCATCTTCTCCTCCCATTTAAATAAAAGTTGTATTTTTATTGCTAAATGCACACAGTATATACCGTAGCTGCATGTTGCTCCAGGCAAGTGCAGCCAGCAAGGGAGAATTCTAAGGGTATCCTTTCCACAAGAGAGACTGAAGCCAGAAATCATTTATATTTTACACTTAAGTAATAGGAGAGGACTAGGAGTGTGGAACCAGAGCTGTGAAGATATTTAGATTCCTTGTCGCCACAGAGAAAAATAAATGGTGTAAATATTCGCGAAGGCTGCAAGACCTACAGAGCACTTGGGACTGAAAAATATAATAATTTAGATGTAAGCCATAACACATCCTACACCGTGGAAAAAATCCAGCTGTTTTGTGACCCTGGGCAATGAAGCTGAGTGTGCCCTCCTCTTTTAAAGCCCTTAAAATTTTTCACTCAATTTGAACAGGGAAACAGGTAATTCACCGAAGCACACTCAGTTGCTAAAACAGCTATTCCACTCTTTTTCCACATGGAAGAGACTCTACCTTCTGCTACAAAACAGGAAAGATCTCAGGGTTGCAAGATCTACCCTGCTTTTTTCTTTTTGCTAGAAACAAAAGGACCCAAATATAAAAGGATGGCTCAGAGGGCAGAGACAATGACATACTGCTCCCTATGTGCCCTATAATCAGGTGATCTGTATATACCAATCTGCATTGGGTTACTAGGGATCAGGGACTCTTAAGTTCTATTGACACTGTTATGTCTATTTACTTCCACTTGTGATTGTCATGGCGCCATCCTGCAGGTTCCTGGGATCTCTGCAGCCTGGTGAGATACTTAACAATTATCTCCTAGATTGCTCTAATCCAGTGGTTCTTAACCTTTTTGAAAGAAACGCCCCCTTGAGCCATTGAGGAAGTTATCATCGCCCCCCTCCCCGCGGTGATGATATCTTATTTGTTTGTTAGTTTGTTTGTTTATTTGTTTATTTATTTATTTGTTTGTTTAAGACACTTAAATCCAATGACCCCTGAAAACAAAATTAAATTCCAAGAAAATGAAATGCCCCCCAAAAAGTAACATTTAATGATTTAGTTGCAAGTGAATTTTAAGACGCAAAAAGAAATATAAAAAGGGCATAAAAACAAATGCAGGAACTAAAAATTTCAAGACAAAAAGTCTGAAACTAAATTAAAATTGGAGGAAAATATATATTCATGCACACTGTAAAAAGGCTGCAGCCATCTTCACCCCTGAAAAATGAAATCGCCCCCTGGGGGGCATTATCGCCCACGTTAAGAACCACTGCTCTAATCCACTATGGCAGAGAATTAGATTTACCTCATCAAAACATGAATCTGGGGATTCCTTAGGAACAAGCCGTGATAGCTGAAATAGCATCAAATTAGCATAACGGTATATTGCACGGTACCTTCATTTTAGACCAATTATGGCTAATAGTAAACAATGAAGAAATGGAGATCTTTGCTGATAAGTCACTTGAAGATCTACCAATTCTCTACCTACCTCCTATCTATCCCTACTCTACTACTAGTCTCATCCCTTTTATTCTTTCAACTTTTATTTCTTTCGAAAGAAAAGAAACAGGATAACCTGCTACAGACACATCATGGGTTTATTTTATATAACTGGTTCTCATGGCTGCAGAAAATGACGGACTTCTGGTAAGAGCTTGGAAAGGTTAATTTTCTGGGACCACTAGAGTCCTCCAGCCAACATGGCTAGAAAAACAGCACTTCCAAGCTAATATCATTGTAACCCAGCAGCTCCAGTACAGTTTTACTAGAATAAGGCAGCTTGAATGGCTCAGAAATCCCATCCTAGGGTTTTCTTACTGTAAGTTTCACTCCAAATTTAAAATTCTGCTCCTGAGTTCTCTGTGAACATTGCCCTTTCCACCCTCTTTGTTAAGCTCAGTCTGATTTTCACCCTTCAATTTCAAGGGGTTTTTCGTTCCTACTGCTGCTTCTGTGCCGGATAATTCTCCAGTTAGGGAGCAACTGGTGATAACCATCTTCAATTGCTTCTGGGAATGTTCAGTTTGTAGAGTGCGCCAATTCCCACTTTGCAGAAAGAGAATGGCAGATGACATCCTAAGAATACCGAATGAATGTACTGCTAAGGTGAGATCTTACTGCAGGTGTTTCTACTTTTTCCTATACAACTGTGGAACTATACATTACATGCAACATATACTCTGAACATAAAACTAAAGCCTTAGATTCCTTGAGTAATTTTGAGCCCACTTATAAAGAAGGAAGGACAGGCCCCCCCAAAACTTGGCAGACTTTTATTTCAGGTTAACTGCTTATGACCAGGCTGTAATTTTACTTTACTTTAAAAAGTGACTTTTTTGGATTATGACTCTCCAAATCTCCAAGCAATCATGTCTGGAATTCTGAATATCTTACTTAGTTTAGGGATTACTTAGGCTAGTTGAAATGCATGAAATTCATTTTTATGGACTCCGGATGCTAGCACAAAATGACATCTTACCAATCGCTGCTGCTGGAGCTCCTCTCTGAGTGCTCTGTCTTCAGGTAAAGCATCACATAAAAGAAAATAATTGTCCTGGTCCGCTGTTAGAAAATTACAGATCAAATGTCACAGGAACGTTTGCTACTTTCTCAGATTTCTAATGCCAACTCCTACTATGTCAAACTTTCATTTATGTCTGAAGTCAGTGCAGGAGAGGAGGTACACATGATAATTCTAGACATTTAAAAGAAGTGCATTTTACAATTTAAGACGACTGTTCAGAATTTTACCAGCCAAATTAATACTAAAGTAGTCTGAAATAACTTCGTAAATATTAAAAAGAAACATGGCCGGGTATGGCATAAGGGATTTTACTGGACAAAATAACCAGCCCCTGTACACCTTCCTCCTCAAGTCTCTCGCTGCCGACTCAGTACATAAGTATCTTATGCTTCTCTGTACATAAGTATCTGGCTGTGAATGCCTCACATTGGCTGCAAATGCCTCACACTTCTCATTTTGGGAAAGACCTCAACAATCTGCATGCTGACTTTGGATCTCACAGAATGCATGCAGAGCAAGCTGAATTGATCCCTCTGTGATCTACACACACACACACACACACACACACAGAGAGAGAGAGAGAGAGAGAGAGAGAGAGAGAGAGATTGCAGAAGGACCAATTCAGCTTGCTTTGCATGCAGTCTGTTAGATCTAAAGTCAGTATGCAGAGATCAGACAGGGGCATGTATATACAGTGGCGCCTCGCTTGACGACGTTAACTTGTTCCAGCGAAATCGCTGTAGAGCGAAAACGCCATCAAACGAAATAAAAAAACCATTGAAACGCATAGAAAACCATTCAATGCGTTCCAATGGCCTGAATACCTGCTCGTCCAGTGAAGATCCTCCATACGGCGGCCATTTTCGGTGCCTGTAAAATGAGGAATCAGTCCTAGAAAACAGCGGGGGACCATTTCCTTCAGCCAGTGGCCATTTTGAAACCCGACGATCAGCTGTTTGCTGATCATCGTAAAGCGAAAATCGGTTCCTGAAGCAGGGAACCGATCATCACGCAGCAGAAAAAAACCATTTAAAAAATTGTTTTGCGATTGCAAAAGCGACCGCAAAAATGTCAATGTAAAGCAGATTCGTCGTAGAGCGGGGTAATCGTTCAGTGTGGCACAACTGTATATGCCCCTGTCCGATGTCCCTGTCTCCGTATACATATATCAATCAGATAAGGGGATTCTTTTTTCTGAGCTGCAGAAGAAGTCAGTTTAAGGTTGAGATGATGCTGGGTGGAGCTAAAGTCAATAATGTGCATAGGTAGCATGACTATCTGCTTGCATGTCATTGGTTTTTTAATTTCTCTGTGCCACCACACTCCTCCTTTACTTCAGCCACAGCTAGCAAAAGCTGGTGGGAGTTTACAGTCCAGAATTGCTCAGAGGGCTACACATTCCTCTGCCCCATGCAATGTGAAAACATGTCCCTGATTAGGTAATCTAACGACAACAGGGAAGTTGTATCCCAGGTGACAGATCTTACTACACAGGTTAGATAATGAGAAAAATACTCACCTAAAGGTGCTTCTGAATTTGTTCTTATTACACAACAGAAGTCTGTAATAGGCTGCTCTTTAAATCTTTTCTTCCAGTACAATGCATATCTTTAAGAGGAGGGGGAAAGCGACATTGTAGACAGCTATGTTACAAAACAATTTGTTTATTTCCCCACATTCTTAATGCCATATTTTTCTGTTTATAAGATGACCCAATGTATAAAACAACCCCCCTTTTCTAACTCCAAATTAAAAAATTTGATCCCTGCTTTTCCCTTCCTTTTGCTAGGCCATGGAACTTAGCAAAAGGAAGAGAAAAGCAAGGATCAAAGGGCTCCCTTTGACCGCCGCTTTTCCTTGCCTTTTGTGAAACCATGGGGCTTAGCAAAAAGGAAGGAAAGGCCCCCTTTGGGTAAAGGCTGCAGTATCGCAGCCCTCTGATCCTGAAGCCCTTTCATGGCTGCTTTATGCACTTCCTAAGCCCCACTTTTAGCAGTTATGAAAGGGCTTCAGGATCAAAGGGCTGAGATCATGCAGCCCTTTCACGGCTGCTTTACCCAAAGGGAGCCTTCCTTTCCTTTTTGCTAAGCCCTGTGGCTTCACAAAAGGCAGGGAAAAGCGGCTGCCTTCCATGTGTAAAACGACCCTCAATTTTTTGTCTAATTATTTAAGAAAAAAGTGTCATTTTATACACAGAAAAATACGGTACATAGTTCTTTTCACAACATTTGGATACTGCAGCCACTCATTACAGCCAATCATCTTTTGGGGAAGATGAACTAGATGACATTTCTATTTAGCCAGAGCCATTTTGTCAGCAGTAAATAACTTGAAAATTAGAAATCTACTATGAACCCATTTGTAGATAGATGCTCAGCTTACATGTAGAAACCAGACACGATGACTAGTGTTTTGTTTTAAAACACCACAAGCTTGTGTTGCAGAAAAAGCTAACTATTTTAAAAAGGATTTTATTTGCCCTAGATTCTTTTCATCTTCTTACATTGCTTTAAACTTTGATGCTTACTGAGCCATAAATGGATGCTTTGTGCACGCTTGGTCACAAGACTCTTAAAAATGTATACTGCAGGAATGCTAAACCTACTTATTAGTTTAATTATCCAATTGAGAGTAAAATGTGTTGTCCCAACAAAGCAAATATCAAGGCATTCAGCATGAGCCAACCCGGCAGCATACAAATGTGTACTACCAGATGACAATTCTGTCAAAGAAATCAGCCTCAGGACAGGTATAAACTAGAGCCGCAATTTGGCAAGAAATGGAATGGAGAAAAAGCCTGAAGGACACAATCCTAGTGCAAGGATGTGCCACACTGGTATGGATGACAAGCTGTAAGAGAATTATGGCTCTAATAGCTAGGGGTGTGTGTGGGCATCTGTGTGTACACACATGTGCATATCAAGAACTGCAGGATAGTTCAGTGGTTTAGGAATCTAGCTCCCAATGATTGGGAGTTCAATTCTCCACTGTGCCTCTTTGACTCAGTGTTCCACAGGGTCCCTTCCAGCTCAACAATTCTAAGAAGATGGTGACGACCATCATCATCATCATCATCATCATCATCATCATCATCATCATCATCATCATCATCATCATCATCATCATCATCATCTATTATTAT